AGTTTTCTTCAGTTATGTGAAGTTAAGCCATTTAGTTTGTTAATGATTTTGTTTGGCATGTGTGCTTTGCTGGCACTTGTTCAAAATAAAGGACTGATTTGAGAAAACCTGAGATCTTGTTCGAGTCTGTCTCCTACATGCCTGGCCGCTGAGAGTCAACCTACCACAGTTTTCATCCAGGATATCCCTGTACTTGGCCGCATTCATCCTTCCCTCGATTGCAACCAGTCGTCCTGTCCCTGCAGCTCGAAAACACCCCCATAGCATGATGCTGCCACCACCATGCTTCACTGTTGGGACTGTATTGGACAGGTGATGAGCAGTGCCTGGTTTTCTCCACACATACCGCTTAGAATTAAGGCCAAAAAGTTCTATCTTGGTCTCATCAGACCAGAGAATCTTATTTCTCACCATCTTGGAGTCCTTCAGGTGTTTTTTAGCAAACTCCATGCGGGCTTTCATGTGTCTTGCACTGAGGAGAGGCTTCCGTCGGGCCACTCTGCCCTAAAGCCCCGACTGGTGGAGGGCTGCAGTGATGGTTGACTTTCTACAACTTTCTCCCATCTCCCGACTGCATCTCTGGAGCTCAGCCACAGTCATCTTTGGGTTCTTCTGTACCTCTTTCACCAAGGCTCTTGTTCCCCGATAGCTTAGTTTGGCCGTACGGCCAGCTTTAGGAAGGGTTCTGGTTGTCCCAAACGTCTTCCATTTAAGGATTGTGGAGGCCACTGTGCTTTTAGGAACCTTAAGTGAACCTTAAATTTTTTTGTAACCTTTGCCAGATCTGTGCCTTGCCACAATTCTGTCTCTGAGCTCTTCAGGCAGTTCCTTTGACCTCATGATTCTCATTTGCTCTGACATGCACTGTGAGCTGTAGGGTCTTATATAGACAGGTGTGTGGCTTTCCTAATCACGTCCAATCAGTATAATCAAACACAGCTGGACTCAAATGAAGGTGTAGAACCATCTCAGGGATGATCAGAAGAAATGGACAGCACCTAAGTTAAATATAAGAGTGAGCCTGAAGGCCAGCTGGCGTGCTTTTGGGACATAGATAGAGGTTGATTCATATAGCTTTGTGGGTCACAGGATAACCTGTAATTTTCCTCTAATGCATTTTTGCTCAATTACAGTTTTTTGAAGCAAAAGGGGAGAGAATGGACAAGGGTGAGGGTTACATTTTTGCTGGCATTAGTTAATTTTTTTGTTTTTTTATGTGTTTGGTTGTTAACTGCATATCTCCAAAAAGTAATGAACAGATTTGGATGAAATGTCTTTGAGAGGTAGGGTATGACCTACAGAACAATTGATCAGATTTCAGTGTTTCTCTGTGTCATAATTTGGATACAGGAATGTTTTTAAAGATTATTAACCATAGTGAGTGCTAGAAAGGCTGCTGACTGTATGTGAGCCCCCTTGTGACCAAAGTGCATAGCTGCACTGTTGAGCAAATCGAGCGCATAAACTTTTGAAACAAAACCCTGGGTTAATGATGCCTACCTATTCAATATCAATGGAAACCAAACTGTCACTCTGTCCATCCCACTGTGTGACACAGGGAGTGAAGGAGCCCAGTGAGGCAAGATTTCTCAGCTGGGGAAAGATCTACTGTATGTAGTGACTTTTGGAACCTAATGAGCTGTGCTTCCCTTTACCGTCACCTGGCATAAGCTAATGAGTTGACGCTGACCATCCTACTTTGCTTCACTGTATTTTTCTTGGTGTGATCTTGAGGGGCTGTGCTCCTCCAGTGATGGAGACTGTTGAACAAGCAGAACACAGACTTGCAGAAATGTGATGTCTTCACTGCTTTGCTCATGGTCCCTGTTTTACCCCTAAACCAACAGGTGGATGTCTGCCACGTCTTTCTTTTTTCTCGAGTGCTTGCTCAAGGGGAATTTGTTGGGTTTTGCCTTTAACGCTATAGCTTACTATGCCCTTGTTGTTGTAAATTGATGCCACAGTATAGCCTACAAATAAAACTGAGCTGAAAAACTTTCAAAAGAATAGCGATATCAATGTCATTCCAAATGCCACCAATAGGTTTTCATGGTAAAGCAAGCATATATGAGGTTCAAACTACCATGAAAATATTGCTTTTATTGCATTATAGGGAAATGAAATTGCCCTTGGAAGAGGCTACACTCTCTGTGATGTTTAGTTTAAAATAGAGCCACTACAGCCCTGTGTCACTGACTCTGCTTTCAGTAAGAATCAGACATGATTCAGGTCAGTAGTCTGCAGCTCGACTCTTGTCCTGTGATGAGAAAATTTAAAACTATTCTATGACTGTGCACAGAAGCTGATCAATTTGGTATGAATGTCTGGGGAGTTTAGATGATAGACGATGTAATGGTGATGAGCGAAATTATACTATATGGACATTCTTGTGAACATACTTACCATAATCATAATCTGTTTCTGGACCTGTGAAAGAAGAAAAGATAGTGTAAGACATACTATACAGAGAAGGTAAAGTTCAGTATATACTGGAGCCAATCCCAGCTGACACTGGGAGATAGGCAAGGTCCAACCTGTCACAGGGCTGAGAGACAGACAACCACACACACCCACACTAAGCAGCATGTTTTTGGACTGTGTGAAGCTGGAGTACCCGGAGAGAACCCATGCAAGCACAAGGAGAACATGCAAATGCCACACAGAAAGGCACCAAACCCTGAAACTTCTTGCTGTGAGGTGACAGCACTAACCACTGCACCACCCCGCCACAATAATCAAAACACCAAATGAGGGTATACCTGTTGGAAGCAGGGTGTTTATCCCTCCAGTAGAGTTCTGAGACTTGGATAATCAATGCTAAGGTGCATTGAAGTTGTTCTGGTGGCGGGTGTTGGCCCCCCACCTCACTAAAATACTTTAATTTTTCACCTGTCTGTACATGTTTCAGTGTACATGAAAAAGGGGTAACAAGAAATGAAAACAAAAATTACTAAGCTGAAGCAAAGCAAGTGCAAGATTAGAACCTGAGCCTGGGTATACTGTGTGAAAAGAGTGAAACACCAGAAATAACACTGTTAACAAGATCATCACCTCTTGTCTAAATATAACTTGTCATCCTCCACATATCATTTACACTTAGACTATATATAAGCATTATTTCACCACATATCCCAGTGAAGACAGTGTTTTCATATATTTGTAAAGTGTAAGCATCTCCAGTGATACGGTAAATAACATGGTCATAAATAATACTGTACAGTATATTTGGTATTTTGATTAAAATACTAGTTTAGAATCCTCCTGCTGTGATTTGCTTTTATGGAAACAGTAATTGTGAAGATAATAATGAAGTACACCTACTTAGTAAACAGTCTGTATAATTCTCTTTATGTGATGGGGAAATAAACAGTATGTAATAGTGAGGGACTACTGAGTAACTGCTAGAGAGAGCAATACTGTCAACTTAGGTGTGATCGGATTGATTTATGGCTTTTGATTGTTTTATTACCAATAACTAAGTATACACATATTCACCCCATCATTTGTAGGATCCACCTTGAATGATAGTTGTGCATCTCTGTAAGTTGTAGTCTTTCTTCCTGGAAAAATTGTTCAGTCTCAGTCAAGCTCAAAGTATAATGCTTGTTAAGCGCCTTTAGGCTAAGGTGCTTTTACAGTATGTTCTGGGTCACTGTGCTGTGAGAAAATGAATAGTCTTCCAGAACTCTTGCAAACTGTAGCAGATTTTCTTCCAGGGTTTCTCTGCTCCATCTATTTTACATTTTTATTTATGAGTTCACCAGCTCCTGCAGCCAAGAACGCACTGCTAAACTTAAAACCCCATTTGGTAGGTAGGTAGGTAGTATTTTATTGATCCCACAATGGGGAAAATTATAACACTTTTCTGCCATGACAAGTAATACTTGAGGCTTCCATTAACCTGAACCTGAGTATACAGTATATAATTAAAATGCATCAGCAGAATTGGCCATGTCATTTCTATGTGCTGTTTGGTAAGTGAATGATGTGACTGGTTGATGGACACCTAGAGTAGAAGTGACGTTGACCCTGCTGAGTGATTTTCTTGTGGATTTCTTCCAAACACTAACCACTGTGTTTGCTGTAATTGCCCTTGTTGTGATGTGACAACACATTTGCCTGACAGGCCATGAGCTACAGCACCACCAGCACAATCCTTGAAAGTATCTGGAACTTGCATTTAGTATCACTTCTTGAGCAGTGCAAACAGTAGTTCCAAGACTATTTTGCCCAAAATGAGCAGAGGTCTGTTTAATGGTGGATACTGGGCACTTTTTCTAGCACTTGCACATACAATACACCTTACAGATATCTAAAGCATAACACCCACAGAGTGACCAATGGTAGGACAGTTATACTGTATGACTGCTCCACACTTCATACTGAGAGTTCATGACTTACAACCAACTATAAATAGTGAAACATCAACAGTCTCCTGCTATGGTATATTAGGATGAAAAGAGAAGGAATCCCCAAAGGAATGGTTTGTTTTCACTCCAGAAAGCTCTCTTTTGCTGTTGTTGTTACAATAGATACTTTGACCTCACATGGCCTCCCAACTTACCATCAAAAGGCTTGTCAAGGAAGTGCCCATACACAGTGCTGGTAGCTACACCCAAGTAGTTGGTAGCCTCCAAAGTGTAGTTGCCGTTGTTGTGATGTGTTGGGTTTTTAAAGGTTAGGCAGCCCTCTATGTAGTCCTGGTAAATATCCATATCAGGACGCACATACTCAGTGTGGGAAATTTCCTGAGTAGGAAGTGTCACAGAAGCAACAAATTAACATGGATAACATGAAATGAAACACTGAGCAAGTCCTAATGTTTAATGTAATTTACAAAACCTGCTGACAGTGATCACACTACTCGGTATGAATACATGTCAAGCTGTCATCTTTTTTTTTTTTAAATGCACTTTTTTGCCCTCTCCTGCATTTAGGGAAGCATAAATTCCACAGTCTGCTGTTTAAATCACACAAATCCTGTTGTTTTCTGTTTCTACTGACAGCTGACCAGGGTGCTTGAGTTTCACTTTCTCCCTCCGTAATGAACTGAGGAAAATCAATCAAATCAATAAATCCATCCATCAATTTTCTAAACCGCTTAGTCCCAAACAGGGTCACGGGGGGCTGGAGCCAATCCCAGCCAGCTGCAGGTGAAAGGCACACCCTGGACAGGTCGCCAGCCCATCACAGGGCTAACACAGAGACGAACAACCACACACACACACACGCACTTCTATGGGCAATTTAGAGACACCAATCAACCTATGCAGCATGTCTTTGGATTGTGGGAGGAAGCTGGAGCACCCGGAGAGAACCCACCCAAGCACGGGGAGAACATGCAAACTCCGCACAGAAAGGCCCCAGGTCAGCCAGGGCTCGAACCCAGAACCTGCTCGCTGTGAGGCAACAGCGCTGACCACCGCGCCACCATGCTCCCCTCAATAAATCCATAGGCTGCATAAATATGTGACTTCTTCTTCATGATCTTACATGAAAACTGTTTTTGTCCAGTACATTTGTCTTGCTGGTCAGCCTGGTAAAATCTTTGTTCCGCCACTGTCCTGCTGTCAGACAGACAGCTGTTCTGATTACTTTAAATACAGAATGCGTCACTCACTCACATCTCACTTCCAGTCTGTTTTACCAGTTAGACCAGTGGATTACATGCTTTTTTCCACACTGTGTTTCTGAAATATTTCAGCCCTCCACCTGCTTTTAGTGTATTTATAGTTTTTGCTCTTTTATACTTCTGACAACAGCTCAGAGAAAAATATTGTAATGTTTACTACATTTATTTGACAGCTGTGGTGTTGCTGGTTATTTTGCAGGTTTGGCTGAAGACATTTTTTCTGGTTGTCCATCTGTCCATCCAGCCAGCCCATTCTCATGAACACATCTCTGGAATGCCTTGAGGAAATTGCACTACATTGACATACAAATTAATTTCACCTTATCTTTGTAGAACCATCGTAAGGTTGGGTGCGGTGAACCTCGAACAGTGAACTCCATGCATGTGTCATGGCGCCGTTCAGGCTCCTTCAGCTTAATAATAGAGGGAGGAACTGAAAAGACAACAAAAGAAAAGAACTGATGAGCACCATTCACTTTGGAAGCCAAACACAGGAAGACAAAGGATTTTACTGTTTTGCTTAGTCACATGTTTCTGCACTTCAGTGAACATAATATATTTTCTGTCATCACACTTCAAGTATTGTTACAGTACATGAAAGGGCCAGAGAGGAAAAGCGAAAATACTGAGACATAAACTAGAAAGACCTTGATAATCATTTTTGATGATCATTTTAATATACTGCTCTCAATGCAGTCTGTTCCAAGTGATTTAGAGTGTGTGAGCATGTGTGCTCCTGTTCTTATGCCTCTCTGTGTTGACTAACAAAAATTCATCTAAATGCAAACACAATTTACTGAGTGTCATTGTTTTACCACAGCCAACTGTAAGAAATTCAAATCAGTATTAGAAATGCACTGCAAATGGAATTTATCACACACACTCACACACATAATATATTATCAAGGTCACGCGGATTGGAGGAGTTGTATTGTACATCTGACATACAATATCTGAGTCAGAATAAAAGGAGTTCTCAGTGAATTTACATTACATTCGATTTTAATAATGGTCTATTAAAATGAATAATATTAAAAAAATGACAAATTTATATATTATATTAATAATAATAATACAAATGATACTATTAATATAATATGTGATAGCAATAAAAAATGATAAATACAATACTATTACTAAAAATACATTTCAATGAAAAATAATTATAAGATAAATCCAAGACAGCTACTATAGACACAACTAAAGCAGTTTATGATATTCCAGAAATAAAAACACAAAAGGTATGGTGCCAGAAGATTGGCTGACTGTAAAGGTCAGCTAAAACTCCTAGCATTTAGGAGAAAATGGCCTTGAAAAGATGAGAGTTGGATGCAGAGAAAAATAAAAATGAGAAAATGTGGGATGACACACATGCTGTGCTGTTTGTTAGATTATTATCCCATATAAGCTGAGCTCCAGCAGGCTGCCATTTGAACATCAGGAGGCAGAGCTCAGCATTGCTAACTTTAACAGCACACGCTTGAAATATCTGCTTTCAGATTCTGCCTCACGTTGACCGAACAACTGCAGAATGTAACTCCTTAGACTTTATGAAATAAGTGTGGATTGATTAAGTGTCTCCACATCGAGAGAAGGGCTGTGTGCTATTTATACATGTGGTACAACAGCAATAACTTTATTGACAGAATTTTTTTATGTAGCTTTGTGATCTCACAGTAGCCTTTTTAGCCTAAACGCTTTTTGTGCATTAATCAAGTCAGTTGCTACACACAGATTCACAGTTTCTACAGTGAAACAAACTGGCTGTGGTCAGGATGAGTCCACCACCATAAACAATGCTACTCCATTTCTGTTTTCAGCAAAAGTTCAAATATTACTTCTTCTGTTATTACCCAATTGTCCAGCATCAACCCTGCTTCCTTCATATGTCAGTTTTAATCATATAAATCTGCTGCTGTAATGTGGACAGACATTTTTATGCTGTTTGCATGTGCTGGTGCATTTGGTTTTGCCAAATAACAAAAACAAAAGAAAAGAAAACAAAAAAAGGATCCTCTTACACAAACTCTGTTCTGCAGCATTTAACCATAGAATTTAAGAAATCCCGAATCCCCGCTCTGCATTTGTCATGTTTTGAACATGAAATCAGTGTCATAAATGTCAGTATTGTCAAATTTTGTTGTGCACTATGTGCCGTCAGGACTTTGCGTGAAGTAAACACATTATATTCTCTGGAAAACATTATTATTCATTTATTCCAGCCAGAAAAAAAAAAAAATCAACCTCTATTGAAGAGACTCCCTACAAACAGGCTCGGTGTTCTGTGCTGAATCAATAAGTAGTATACAACACTGGCTGCAAGCCCAAGACGTGGACGAAAGGGATGTATCCACAGTAGCTAGTCTGATTGATGTGTGAAAAACTATAATGGCATGGCCAGTGTTGGAGTAGGCTGATATGTGGCACACATGTAGGGAAAGCATACTCAGCGAGGCCCTGGCTGCTCAGTGCCTTTGTGTTCAAAATAATATGAACAGCAAAGCCAAGACAATACAAGGGCCGAGTCAAGTAGAAAGAGAAAGACAGGCAATGCCAGTGAGAAATATTTCCACAACAGACAAGCAACAAGACAGAGAGCAGTTATTCAAGAAGACACCATGATAACAGCTGGGATGAAGGATCAACATCAACAAATCCAGTGCACGCCAGCAGCTGTGTGTTGGTCTACAATGACAGACGACAGCTGACAGTTTTTGGCTTAGATGAAAACTATAGCCCACTTGAACCAACAGCTGACAGCAACAGACACATTCAGAGACAAGAAACTGGATAATGTAGCCCTTTGCACTCATTAAAGGCCATTAGCTGGCACACAGGAAGACAATACAACAACAAGCAAACGCCTATAATCACAGACAGCATACAGTACAGAAACCAAAAATCTTTCCAGTTCAACACACCAAATTACATTTTTGGCACAAAGAGACCTGACAGTTTTACTGCTGCACATTCATACAAATCACCTACTATGGACTGACCCAGACTGGTTTCATGAACTATTATTTTCACCATTTTAAAATGTGATGACTTTTTTACTCAATCATCTGGTAATTGCTTTACAAAATGTTACAAAATGTTTATCCCATAATCAAATACAAAAGCTGGTTTAGCCCACCTTGCAGTCAAAAATCCATTTCCAATATTATAGAAGACATAAAGCAAATACAGAACCACACTTGCTACTGTACTTCATCCACCACTGTCAAGACCTCTGAGCTTATTTCTGAACCTGAAAGAAAAAATTGTGTTAGGTTGTGTGTTATACGGACCTCATAAGGCAGACTCTGGACTAGGAAGAGGAATGACTACAGAAGGGGTCTATTAAGTAAGTACAGGTTATGTTGGCTAGCAAGGAAGCCGAACAGGTGGAAGATCGGGCAAGGAACCAGGACAGGCAGGAGAGAAGGCAGATGGACGGCAGTTAACGGGAGGATGAGAGGATCAGGTGGTGGAGGTGAGTAGACCAGTAGTGGCAGATAACCCACTGAATCTCGGAGACACTGCAGAATATTCGGGGGAGATGGTGTGAGTGCTGATGACAGCACAGATGCACACAGGAGTGGCACAGATGACAGTAACGTCACACAGCAGAGGTCCAAAGAGTCAGAGAGGAATATAAGTGAATGCAGAAATGGACACTGCACTGGGAAGCAGCACGCTGCCAGGAGATCAGGAGTCTCAATGGGTAATGACAAACACAACACGCTGGCTCAGCACGTTACCAGGAAATCAGGAGTCTTAACTTGTGAGGACCGACACAGCACTCAGGAGAGGTACGTTACAGGGAGATCGGGAAACAATTCCAGGTGTGTAGGCATGAAGTCAAGAATGATCCAGTGAGGACTAAGTGGAAATAAGGGTGTATATATACAGTATATGTTGCAGGACCAGGAAGTAATGAGCAACAGGTGGAAGGAATGATGGTTGATTAGGTGATGTGGCAGAATGGCAGGGAGAGCTGGGGCAAAAACTAACACAAAAACAGGAAGCTTAGTCCAAACCATGGCAAAGAAGTTGTTCAGATTGTTTAGATTTCACTTTACTGACTGTAGTAATTTAGAATAGATAACCAGTTGGCTCCCATCTTCATGCAAATCTTAAATAGATCACTGGAGCTTTGTGTGGTTCCCTCCTGTTTTAAACGTTCCACCATCATCCCAGTTCCCAAGAAACCCTCCATCAGGGAACTGAATGACTACAGATCTATCGCCCTGACATCTGTAGGTCATGAAGTGTTTTGAGAGACTGGTGTTGGCCCACCTGAAGAACATCACAAACCCCCAGCTGGATCCCCTGCACTTTGATTACTGAACAAATAGGTCAGTGGATGATGCAGTCAATATGGCACTGCATTACATCCTGCAACATCTAGACTCACCAGGGACCTATGCACGGGCCCTCTTTGTGGACTTCAGTTCGGCATTTAACACCATCATCCCAGACATCCTCCAGTCTAAAGTGATCCACCTCACTGTGCCCCCCCTCCTCCTCCCCGCCCTCACCTGTCAGTGGATCACCAGCTTTCTGACAGACAGGAAGCACCAGGTGAGGCTGGGGAAAACCATATCCAGCACCTGGACTGTCAGCACAGGTGCCACTCAGGGATGTGTGCTCTTCCTGCTGCTGTTCTCCCTCTATACTAATGACTGTACCTCAAGAGACCCTTCTGTAAAAATCAATTTGTATGTCAATTATAAGCGGAGGAAAATTGATGGATGGGGATGATGTGGCAGAACGGCAGTGAGAGCTGAGGCAAAACTAATACAAAAAGAGGAAGCATAGGCCAAACCATGACACATTGCTGCATCATGTGTTTGCCACTGATTTAGCACTGCACATTGTACTATAACACTGTCAGGCTCAGGAGGAGGAGTTTTAAAAGGGAGCAAAATCAGCAGAATTTGCAATATTGTCTTCAAATTATCTCTCAAATTATCACCAGGTTTATCTGCTACTCTGCCCCATTTAGATTTACTAGCCATTTAGTTAGCATACTCATCTATTATTCATTTGTGTTGCTGTCATGTTATTAGAAGCCTGTAGTTGTTTGTTTAGTTGTAAGGATAACATGCATACTGAAACTGATATCTCTCCTCTTTTGCATTCTTCACATGCTCGGTCACTGTATGGATTTCACTCATGCTGCCTCAGTTATTCCAGTTAAGTCTTCCATAAGGGAGCAAATCCCTTGATTAAGAGAACTCTGTGATGGGCCACAAAGAAGGATCTTGTAGCCTATAAGTATTGCTGCATATAACTATTAAGCCATATCCCAGGACAAATGGTTAAATTGGTTATTTGTAAGAATTATGATTGATATTCCCCCAAATCTAAAAATCCAGGTATTTTCAGTACATATCTTCCTTCAGCTTCAGTGTATTAAAAAGCACTACTATCCGGGTTCAGGTCTTA